AACACCAGGACAGTGACGTGAAGGATATCTGTGGGGATATGTGAGGGGAAAACATGAGGCATGGTGACAGGAAGGAAGAGATGCGTGAAGAAAACACCAGGGAAAGTGACACAAAGGAGATCTTTTGGCAGTAATAACCACCCTGTGCGAGCACTCATGCTCATGCTCACAACCAGACCTTGGCATCACTGCCCTGTTTGACACCCCATGACCTCGTGTGCACCCCTTCACGACTTCTGAGTGGCACAGTAAAAGGCACATGGCATTCTACCAACTAGAAAGTGAATGACTTCTCTACAACATGCAAACATAGAAAACTGGTAATGATGAAGGAGATGGGTGTAAAACAACAGGGACATTTGTAGGGCTAAGAAATCTGGTGATGACAGAAGGTTAGACTAGTTGTTCAAAAGCTAGCTGCACTTCAAAATCACCTGGAGGCTTGGTGCTTTTACCCACTGGGGCTTCCCCCTCTGATACTGACTCAGCAGCTTTATTTTGGTACCGAAGAATCTATATTTTTAACAAGCACCCTGGGTATTATAGACATTTAAGTACCACTGGAGTAAGTGACATATGGCATAATTTTAGGGCTTAATTCAGCATGTAGTATTTCAATTTACCAGAAATGATAGACAGTCTTCCCAGAATATTTACTGAAGCAGAACACTCATTCTCAGCTGTAGGACACAGCAGAATGTCTACTATACCTGGTAGTCCAGCATGCAGAAGCTTGGAAAAAACTGACGAATTCGAGATTCAAAAAAATAGGGGAAGATCCAGAAAATTGGCAGTTCTTCATGACAGGCAGCTAGGGGATCACAAAAAAAAAAAAAAAAACCAAAAGGGAGGGACAGAGGGGAGGAAGGTAATTAAATTGGTATTTAAGAAAAAATAAAAGAGATAACTATAATTGAAAGACTTCTGGTATCAGAAGAAATTGCAACTGTTCAATAAACTTAAATCTCATAAAAAAAAAATGTTCACCAGAATGACATTCACACCTCACTTTTCCAAAGGTCAATGGGATGTTCTTTTATATCTAAACACAACTACAAAGAGTATATAAAAGTAATCCTTATATGTAATCATGGACCAGGTTGCATGTTCTGATGGAGCCTGATGGAATCACTGAGACTATGGCCCCTAGCTGCCCTTCAGGTCTGGAATGGAACCCACACCCATGGCTTCCAGCCAAACAAAAGACAGGCACATGAGGTGAACATTTACACTAGGTAGATACACTCCTTTGAGAGAACACTCATGGGAGAATAGAAGGGCAGTGTATGCACAGGGACATAGCTCAGGGGGCAGGAGTGCATGGAGGGAAGCACACAGGGAAGAGGTAACAATGGGGAGGAAGTGGGAGCTGTTGCATTGTGGGAAATTGTAGTCAATGTAATGAGACAAACTATGTGAACTGCTGTACAGAAAGTGAATTTGCTTTATAAACTTTCACCCAAATCACAATTAAAAAAAAAAAAAAAGAAGTAATCCTTATATGTAAAGATTATAAGGAGCTGTGGTAGTTAAGTTTGTGTGTCAACTTGGCTGGGCCTGGTTGAGTGCTGGGCAGCTGGATGTAGTATTTCCCATGATGACACTGGTAATCAACTCCATGGTGGAATCTATTGTGAGCAGCTGAGTAGCTGTCTTAGGGATGTGGTCTGCTTCCTGTGTATAAGGAGAAGCTTTGGGACCGGTACCTAGCTTATGGCACACTTGAACCCTGCATGTAGCCTGCCATGTCATTGTTCAGCAGCCTGCCATGCTCTGCCGATCCTGGGACTTTCAATGTACTTGAATTAAGGGCCTTCCATATGGTTTGGTAACATTGGGACTGTGCCTTTTTACTTGTTTGTCAGCCTCAGCAGCCAGCAGCTGTTTGAGTGAAGAAAAGCCTCTAGCTCCACTGGGCCGGGAGTAGGAGGCAGAGCTGAAGCCCAAGGTTGAGGGGCTTTCACCCAGCCCCTAGAGCCTAGCACTTTGAACTCGGACGTAAAGCCTCCAAACTGCAAGAGAGTAAACTCCTGTTTGCTCAAGCCATCCCATTTGTGGTATATTCCTGTCAGAGTGGCACTAGGTAACCACACAGGTGCCCTACTGGCACAATGGTTAAGGATTTACTGCCAACTGAAAGGGTAGCAGTTTGAACTTACCCAGTGGCTTCACAGGAGAAAGACCTGGCAAACTGTTTCAGTAAAGATTACAGTCTAGGAAACCCTATAGGACAGTTCTACTCTGTCTCTTGGGGTTGCTATGAGTCAAAATCACCTCGATGACACCCAACAACAACATCATCATCAGGGTAAAGGCAAAGATACCAACAAAGAAGTGGGAAATTCAAAAGAATTATCACTTTGAAGCACAAAGTTCAGCTCTCACATGCATATGTTGTAGTGGATGGAACCCTGAAACCAGGACGACCTGACTCATAAACTGGCAAACATTGTGAAGATCAACAATGAGTTCCAGCCAAATGAGCAGAATGGTGAGGCAGCCCACATCATTGCAAAGTACGTGAAGTTCTTGCAGTTCCAAGTGGCCATCATGGTAGACAATGAGCTGCCTGGCTTGCCCCATGCCATGCAGAAGTCTGCACATCCCCACAAGTCCATGAAGCAACAGTTCAACTGCAAGGAAGGCTGGGTAAGAGAACCTGATGAGCAAGCGTGTTGACTTCTCAGTAGTACAATCATCACCTCCAACCTCAATCTTTCCATTGATCGAGTTAGCATGCCCTACTCCATTGATGCCAACATAACCTTTATGGGGATTGCCACATCCTTCAATACTGACACACTTCAGGAACTAGTACCCAGAGGCCAAGTACAACATCTAAGTCAATAGTGATCACATTGACTTGCACTTCTACCCCAAGCCCAGTGACCTTCACCTTCAGACTGGCTATAAGGTAGAATAGCATATGTGCAATGGGAACATTGTTATCTTCAAGTAGCAGCCAACTTTGCACAAAAGTTCATGATGGGGCACAGAGTCTGCATCCTCCTCTGGTTTACAGGGAGGCAGAAGCCTTAGGTCTAAATCCTAGCTCTGCCCAATCTCACTATCTTGGCTCCCAGGAATGAGTTGTGAAAGATTCTTAAAAACAATCTTAACAAAGTGAATTTTTATGAAAGGCAGGATAGGGAGCTATTTATAGAGCAACCAGTATGTTGATGTTGTTAAGTGCTGTTGAGTCATCTCCTACTCATACAGACATTATGTACAACAGAACAAAACAATGCCCAGTCCTGTACCAGCCTTATGATCCCTGCTATAACTGAGCCCATTGTTGCAGCCACCGTGTCTCTCCATCTTGTTGAGGGCCTTCTTCTTTTTTGTTGAGCCTCCACTTTACCAAGCATGATATCCTTCTCCAGAGAATGGTCCCTTCTGACAACATGACCAAAGTAGGTAAGACAAAGTCTGGCCATTCTCGCTTCCAAAGAGCATTCCAGATGCACTTCCCCCAAGACAGTTTTGTTAGTTTTTTTAGCAGTCCATGGTACGCTCAGTTTTCTTCACTAACACCACAACTCAAAAGCATCAACTCTTCTTCGGTTCCTCTTATTCATTGTTCAGCTCTCACATGCATATGAGGCGACTGAAAATACCATGGTTTGGGTTAGGCATACCTTAGTCTTCAAGGAGACAACTTTGCTCTTCAGCACATGAAAGAGGTCTTTGATGTCTTGACTGCTGCTTCCATTGGTGTTGACTGTAGAACCAAGTAATATGAAGTCTTCAACAACTTCAATCTGTTTTCCATGTATTATGATGCTGTTTTTTGGTCCAGTTGTGAGGATTTTTTTTTTTTTTTTTTTATATTTAAGTGTAATTCATACTGAAGACTGTAGTCTCAGTGTTCATCAGTAAGTGCTTCAAGGCATCATCATTTTCAGCAAGTAAAGTTGTGTCATCTGTGTATTGCAGGTTGTTAATGAGCCTACCTCCAATCCTGATGTCATGTTCTTCTTCATATGGTCCATCTTCTTGGATTATTTGCTCAGCATACAGATGAAAGGAAACAACCCTGAGGCACTCCCTTCCTTATTTTAAACCATGCAGTATCCCCTTGTTCTGTTAGAACAATAGCTTCCTGGTTTGTGTACAGGTTCCTCATGAGTACAATTAAGTGTTCTGGAATTCCCATTCTTTTCAACATTACCCATAATTTGTTATGATCCACACAATCAAACGCCTTTGCATAGTCAATAAACACAAGTAAACATCTTTCTGGTATTCTTTGCTTTCAGTCAAGATCCATCTGACATCAGCAATTATATCCCTCGTTCCACATCCTCTTCTGAATCCAGCTTGCATTTCTGGAAGTTCTCTGTCAATATACTGCTGCAACCGTTTTTGAACAATCTTCAGTAAGATTTTACTTGCGTGTGATATTGCTATTGTTCAATAATTTCCACATTGTGTGGGACCACCTTTCTTTGGAAT